ACTCCAGTCCCAGAACAGTGCTTTTACTTCAGCCCAGCGATTACCACAAAGGTTCGTCTTTTTTTTTTTGAAACAGTAAGAGCTTAATTGTATTTTTTCACTCGTCCCACGACTGTTTCATAAGTTGACATTTTTGTTTCTTTGTTTTTTTCTCCCCTTTTTCGGAAGGGAATGATGCTAGCTGTTCATACTTGTTCCAGTACTTGCGTGGTTTTATTTATTACTGTAAGTTATACTAAGCTTTCAGTATTTAATCTTTCCAACATATTTCCCAGTTAAAGTCTTCTCACTGAATAACGATTTAGAATTTTACCTAAATCTAATAAGTAATTTTGTAACTTGACAACCTAATAAGTTAATATCGTCGAATAAGTAACTTAGTTTAAAAAAATACTATAATCACCAACAAACCCCTATCAATAATTTTAACCACAGAAGGATGTATAAAAGCAGCTAATCCATAATTGTTCATAAAGGCGCCGGATTAGAAAAAAAGCGAGAAGAGAGTGAGGGAATGTCTACACCATCCTGACGGTGAGTTCATAACTCGGGAATTTGAGGAGCTAGAACACTGAAATCTTAGGGTGATGTTCCCCATCTACATAGGTGTTGATGCACCGAAACCCATCTCCCAGTTAAGCGTGGTAGCCGCGTATGGGCCCGCCAAAGTTCTTTTTGTGAGTTCATAACTCGGGAATTTGAGAAGCTAGAACGCTCAAATCTTACAGTGATGTTCTTCATCCTAGTTGGTGTTGATGTACTGAATCCCATATCTCAGGTAAGCGTGGTAGCCGCGAACGGGCCCGCAGAATTTTTTTTCGGTGATTTCATACCGACTTTCCAGACGGTGCTGGTGTTCTTGGTAGTCGTTGCACATTCACCGGCTTCATAGGCCTCGTTTTTCCGTTTTAGCTGTTTCCATGATTTTGACCATTTATACTATTTATATATATTTGTTATTGTTTGAAGCGAAACAGCGATGGATACGGATTGTGGTGGCGGCAGCAGCAGCGCCACATCGAATGTTGTCGATTCACCGACCAGATTGCTAGCCTCAGCGCCGCACCTGATGGTTCCATCACCGTCCCTGCCGAACCTCGCCTCATCGGCCCAGCTACAGATGGATATGTCGGCACTGCTTGCGCATGCGCTCTACTCGCCGTTCGTCTCGATGCCAACACTGAGCCGAAGTGGCCTGATCCAGCAACAGCAGCACCAACAGCAGCCATCATTTTTGATGGTCGATTCGGCGGGGCTTGATCTAAGTAATGCTTTAAGTGGTATGTTGCTGTTGTCGTCTTCCTATCCCAACACATTCCTTTTTATCATTTTTCTCCTGGCTCCCCACACATTTTTTGTTCGCTTTTAATTTTTTGGCTTCAAAAAAGTAACCTTTTCGGCTTCCCGCATGATTTTATACAGCCTTTCAAGTAAATCTTCCTCTCTATTAAGTGGTTTTGGTTTTCCCTGTGTTCTTTTAACCAACCATTTGTTGGCACCATTCCAGAGTCCATCTGTTTTTTTCTTATTTTTGCCATTATGTACAGTTTTATTTTTCCTGGTGCACACTGCTTTTGTTTTTATCGCACAAGCCAAACTGAAGCCGCATGACTTTCCATCGGTTATGCGTTGTCAGCTTGCCTTCCTCAACGGTGCAGGGCGTCATGGCTCATTGGGTCACCAGTGTTTTTCTCAGCCTTAAATTCCACATTTTATTCTAGAAATGGTAAACCAAAGGAATTGAAAAGCCCCTCGTATACAGTCCGTGTTTTGTTTATATGATCCCACCCCTAATAAACACCTTACAGTATGTTTACAGCTTAGGGATGAAACACAGACAGACCATCCTGTATACTCTTGTTACATGATTTTTCAACTTGTCAAAAGTTTTGTACCACATTAACTTGCCAGCTATCTCCCCACCTTCATTCACTATCAACTTCTATCCTTCCAGTCTTAAAACATCTGGAATTCAGCCGTGCTGAATTTCCTTTGGTTTGCATGGTCCCTACTTTACAAGGTATTCTTTGGCCTACCTACGGCTGTACATTACCATTTCACAATTTCGACCTACCTATCGATTCTGCTTGAAGACTGGGCTTCTATGTCCCTATTTTGGCTGGGTTTCTATGTCCCTTCTTCTCTATCCTATTTCTACTTGAGTCTCGTAAATTGGTGAATTTTCCCCATTTTCGTTTTTTCCTTTATTTCCTCCAAAAGTACTCGTTATCTATCTCTGTTACTTATCCTGAGCAGATAAAGCCCGCGGGAATTTTTGTTTTTTAGAAGGTGTAGCACGACAATCGACGAAACTAGACAGCCGAACATTGAGCTCTCCATTGCCGCTTGGTGGTTATCCATCGTTGCTGAAGCAACAGTTGCATGATTTGATGTTACGACGAAAATCGCTGGTGCAGGAGGAGCCGGAAGATGAAGCGACGCTTGAAGCACAGCTTTTCTCACGACTACAGAGTGGTCCAGGATTGTCGATCGCGCTGAGAACACAGCTTAAAACAGGTGAACAGAAAAATTTCATGGATTGAGGATTTTACTTCCTGTATACGTTGGATTTGCTCTTTTTATAGAAAATAGCCACGAAATTGAAATATAATAACGGACTGATGATTTTGATCTAGTTTCAAGTCTCTTATCTTTCACGGTGAAATTCAGCGATTCGATTTTTTTTTTCGAAAAAAAAATTTATGATGGTTCAGAACTGCGGCAGAGATATCATCTAGAATCATGGTTGTGGTGGAGACACAAATCAGAGTACATTGATTTGATGAAATTCTCCTTTGAAGCCCCGATACAGCCATGTAGATGCTGCGTATTCCCTACTTCGTTATCGTCGCCGAACGGATCCATCGTCCAGTAGCCATCGGTTGATCAAAAAACGAAAAAGGACTGTTGCTGCTTTATCAACGTTTACGATCGTTAACACCCTTCAGATCACGATATCATGAAAGCTTTCACAGATAATCCGATAAAGACTACTGTACTTTTTAGATTATAGCGGCTGATAACAACTTCTGTGCCCTCTCAGACTGATTCATCAGCTTTTTCGGCTTTGTCGATGGATTATTGTCTTTTTCAGTGGTAGCTTAAAAACAGCCTGGTGCTTAAAACCTTAAATTTCTTAAAACTTGATGCTTAAAACCTCAAGTTCCTTAGGGCATTATTGTCAATTTACAGCCCAAACGAATCGAATTTTGAAGGGACAGACTGCCCCAGTGATGGAATCGAACCCTTAACCTTTATCGAGAAAGCATGCTTTTTGTTGCTCCTCCTTACACTCCATTTATATTTTTTCTGGAGCAAAATTCTTCGTGTATAAGAAAAATGAGACTTTCATGCCAAAATTTCGGATTGAGAACCACTAATACTCACTGTAATGTCTGATTAACGGTGAAATTCGGTGTTGAATGCGGGAAATATTTTTGTGGAGGGTTGTATTGGTGGAAGAATTTTGCTCATTGTTTTTTGATTACTTCAGGCTTGGTGTATGATTCAGCAATGGCCAAGCATCACTGTGTTTGTGGTAATAACAAGAATCACGTGGAACACGGTGAACGTGTACAACTGGTCTGGTCACGATTGCAAGAGCGTGGCTTACTGGAGAAATGTGAACGTGTACTGGCTCGAAAGGCGCCTCTGGAAATGCTAAGAACCGTTCATGCTGCAACATATGTCACCTTTTTTGCTGTATCACCGACAGCTTGCCTCGAGGTAAACCTCTCTTTCCACGTAGTTTAGTAAATTTTGCAAATATAAATATTCGAAGCTCAGAATTTGATGGCAAAAAGAGGAAACATCAGTAAACAAGACGTAAATAAGGCCAGTGGTTAGAAGCGGAAATATAATAGAATAGAAAGGGTAGAAAGAGCCATGGAGGTCCAACCAAGAAGTGATCATTCCAAATAGGAATGTCTGTATCGCGACCCTAATCGTTATTTTATTAGACTAGTGTGTGCATGTGTGTGTAACACGTCGCG